TCAAATTAAAAGGTCTGGTAAAATCGATTGTTCAAGTATAAAATATATCTAATAGCTAAACTTTGTACAAGTCTGACATCTTTCGAGAAGTGATTGAATTTTATTCAATAAAGTTTTAACATCGACGTTTAGCGTTCTCGAGATTTCTTTACTGTTTTTCTAAATTCTACTGAAATAGTAAGGACACTAACTTTCACCAGTAGCAAACTGTAATCCGTTCAGGTATTAAAAACCATAAAAATGTGATTGTTAATTTATTTTACTAGATTAAATAAATTCTGTGATCCCATGGTCAAACTTAAGAAAAAAAAGCCTGGGGCTTACCCATCCCTTGAATAACTAAACTAGCCGTATCAGTTACAAAATATGAAAACTAGAAACATAAACTAATAATGTACTGTAATAAAACTAAAATGAATAATTACGTTTACTAATACAAAAGTTTTAATAATAAGTGATCAATTAAGGCAACTTGTACTTAGTTGTAATGTCAGAAGGTACAAAAAGACGGGATTAAACGTGGAAAAGGTATGGCGGATAGAAAAAGGATAGGATTTTCAGAGATTGGATGAATGGTTGAAAAAAGAACGACTGAAAGCAAAGTTCAGAGTTTAGGGTGAAACAGATCAGAAGAGCAAGAACAAAATTACGGTAGTGTACGGAAGACCTAAAGGTAAGGAGATCATATACACCGATGGACAAAATAAACGTACCAACCTTACATTTTAATATATTTAAGTTTATTCATATTTTCCATGAGAAAAAAAAGTATGATTGTAAAAATGATCGTGGGGAGGGTGGAAAATAGCGGCGGGAGATCTGGGAAATAAGTTGTTCCTCAAATATCTCTTAGTTTAGTGGTCTTATCAAATAGAATCTCTTGTTGGTGGTAAATGGACGGATAAAATGTACTGATTGCAGGAGGGTATGGGATTCAAACACAACGGCCTGAGAATTTACATGTAAATAATTTAAAACTTTAGTCAAAATGTTGCTTCTATGTTGTTTTTTCTTTTTGGATTCAAATTAATGGTACTGTGTGGTGTTTAATGACGGATATTAGAAATCGTGAGATGCGGTCTGGTGTGACGAAGGTTTTAAAAAAACATTTTCTTTTTCGTGCCGACGTTTCGACCTTGTCAAAATGAATACCAATCAGATTGGGTTGTTTGTTTCATTTTGATTTCAAGATAATTCGAGTTAATCTGATCCCGCCTTAGGATATTTTATCAAGAATTTTTCGGGAAAATGAAAAATTCCCCCCAAAAAATCCCTGTATTTTAGACTTTATACCTAATCAAAATTAGACCGGTTGCACAAAAAACCAATAAAACATAACCAATTTGAAGAGTAGAGATGCGAGAAAAAAGATATTTTAAACGATTTTTATCTTTTCTTCCTATGTAAAAAAATGTTTTCCCAATATTTTATGTTTTAATTGGCATAATAACTGAAGAGTTTGAAATGTTTGAATAATAATATTAAAGAAAAATGTAACTAAAAGTAAAAACCCATAATTAATTAATTCAATCAATTTTTCTTGGCCTACTGGCAATAAAGGTCGAAACGTCTGCACGAAAAAGAAAAGGTTTTTCTAAAACCTTCGTCACACCAGACCGCATCTCACGATTTCTNTATTTATTTATTTATTTATTTTTCAGGGTAAAGTCATGCATGAGAGGTACGTTGTCAGACTAAGTCGTAGGTAGATCTCTGGATCTCCTCTAATGATGATTTTCTCGGGAAGACTTAAACTTTTCGGACTTAGTTGATTGTTCTGATTGTGCACTCTCCAACTATCTGACTCTCTTAGGTTGTCACTATAAATCTAACTCTAACTCTATCTGAAGTGTCCCTGAATACAATTCTCAATCTCTTCCCTGTAGGTGACTGTAACTGACAGCATATGACTCAAACTGTAAATTATCGGCTTAATAGTATCTATGGTATTTTACGATAATTTTGTTCAACCTTCCTTTATCCTTTCTCGTTTTCTCCCCTCTTTCGCCGTTTGTAGCGCGAGTTATGTGTACGAACGGTTTTGCCACCAATTTTTCGCTGTTTCTCAGCTAGCTTCCAAACGAGTTTTTTCTGAAATTGAGCACCCACTCCGTGGCTTACGACTCACATTTACCTCGATTTCCTTTCCGCAATTTTTATTTATTTAGTTTTATTTTGTCTCAACTGTTTTTTTGCTTTATCCCGGTGATATTCTCACTTTCCTTCCTTTCCTATCGCACATTACTTCCAAGGCAAGATCTCGGTAAATGTGACACAAATGCCTCGTCAAGAAAATTCCGATCGCATACTTCTCATATCGCCGGAATCGGCATAAGTCCTCCAGGAAGCAAGGTTCAGTTAAATTTCCGGCTTTTCTTTTGGCCAAAGTTAAGGGTAGAACAAGCAGGTCAAAATGCGACGCCGATACTCCAAAGGTCCATCATGTATGGAAGGGTTACATGTTAAAGATTTATGTAATAAATATATATCGTTATTAGCTAGAAACTTACTGGCCGGAAAATTTATTTTAGTTTTTTTATTTTGTTCACTAATAATTAGGTTAATGAGAGAAAAAAACTGTCGATACTTCTTTCAATTAACATTTTCTTGTAAGGTATTGGTTGAAAAGAAAAAGCTAGTGACCCGTGCGGGATTCGAACCCACGACCTTCGGCTCAATGGGCCGCTGATCTAACCACTTGAGCTATCGTGACACTAGCTTTTTCATTTCAAACAAAATCTTTTCACAAAACACTTCCACCGACTTATCATCTGACCATCTACCTGTTTTTTTATCACTTCAATTAAAACCTTTTGTTAAAAACAATCGTCCTACTCTAACTCCTGGACCAATGAATTGGAAAAAATTTCGTTCCTTGGTTGATGAAAAAACTTTCCGTCCCAATTAACTTAAAAACACCAGTAGAGTTAGAAAACGCGGTTGATCTATTTACAAAAACAGTACAAAATGCAGCGTGGGATTCTTCATTGCCTCACACTCAAAAACAAAATCTTCCAATTATTCTTCCTACATAAGGCAATTAATATCCGACAAAAGAAGGGTTAGAAACCTTTGGCAACGTACTAGATCAGTCATTGACAAACAAAATTACAACCAACTTTTGAATACATAGAAAAAAGAAATAAAACAATTTAAACAACAATCATACGAAACACATTTAATAAGCTTGTCAACAGAGGATGGGAGCCTCTGGCATAGTACAAAACGTAATCCTGCATCATAGCGTTGTCGCAACTCCTCTCAGGAATGATGATGGAACTTGGATCGTTTCCGATAAAGAAAAGTCCAAAACATTTGCAAAACATCTTTCCGTGGTATTCAAACCGCATAACATAATGAATACTGAACACGATAAATTTATATCAGATTCACTTGTGACACCTATGCCCCTAGATCTGCCACCTAAACCAATAACTCCAAAACAAGTATCACAAAGAAATACGACAGCTTCCTACAAAAAAATCACCTGGTCATGATTTGATAACAGCTGAAGTTCTTCAAGAACTTCCCAAAAAAGCAGTCGTCTTTTTGACTTCTTTATTTAACGCAATTTTGAGGACTACACACTTCCCCATACAAATTTCGTACATTAAAATGATCCCAAAGCCCCATTAAAATTTAAGCTCCCCATCATCTTATCGTCCTATTAGTTTGTTACCCATTCCTTCTAAATTATTCGAAAAATTAATTTACAAAGAATTATCTCTATTGCTACTTCCAACAACATCTTACCAGACCATCAATTTGGCTTTCGAACCCATCATTCCACCATCTACTTCCCAGAGTGACTGATTTCATTACTTCGTGTCTCGAGCAGAAACTGTAAGCGACTGGAGTGTTTCTAGATGTTTCTCAGGCCTTCGACAAAGTATGGCATGAGGGATTATTATACAAATTAAAATTATTATTATTTTTACCCCAAGCCTATTATCTGATTATACAATCATACCTTAAAGAGAGATTTTTCGCAGTAAACCAGGATACGGAGACTTCTGGGATGGAAGAAGTGCTTGCAGGTGTGCCACAAGGGTCAATACTCGCTCCGCTGTTGTACACAATTTTTACTTCTGATATGCCCACAAATGAGAATACACTCACCGCCACATACGCAGATGACACCGCCATATCAACAAGCCATCTTTCTTCTACACAAGCTTCACTACAAAACCACATATCAACAATTGAAAAATGGAGCAATCTTTGGAAAATAAACTTTAATCCCTCAAAGTCACAACATATCACCTTTACACTCCGTCGTTAGACTTGTCCTAGCATATACTTATACAATGAACATGTTCCTCAATCCGACTAACTATTTAGGACTTACATTTGATAGAAGACTAACTTGGAATCCATACACATACCTACTCAAGCATATTTGGATGTACGGGTGCCAAGTATATGGATCGGCCAAGTATTCCAATATTCAAAGATTACAAAGTTTTCAATCCAAAATTGTAAGGCTAATTGTTTCTGCCCCTTTTTATGTAAACAATAATACACTCCACCGAGATCTTTAAGTTCTAGACACCAGTGAAACTGATTTTATATATATTTTTTTACTTCATTTTTAAATCGGATTTTGCTTAAATTGTTTATTAATATATCGGATTTTTATTATATGTAATGCTTCGTCAACTTGCATTATAAAATTTGATTGTATTCCAATTGTTTCACTTTATTGATATAATTAAAGTTTTTTAGCAATTTTAAAATGTCTGATCAATAATATTAACAGCTGATACCACTAATCTTAGACTGTGTAATGAATATTGTTTTTAAATTGTAATTTTATTTGGTCATTTGTTTAGTAGTCGTTTCAGTTCATTTGAATAGCGAGTAAAATTGAAAAATGCCTTCTTTTGGCACGTATAATTTAGTATTTAAAAACCGTTAAAAAACAGAGAATCGTTGTTAATCGTGTTTCCAGAGGTTCATGAACTCCATGCGGTTATTTTCTTCGGTACATTAGGAAATTGCTAGAACATAATAGCTGTTAAAAAAAGTAAAATGGTGAGCAAATATAAAGTCTGCGTGGCCGGATGAGCTTCGTTGAGAAGTGGCTGGAGCCAATCGAAGATTTTGTCGATCCTCATGTAGATGAAAGGAGAGACGGGTAAACCGTAAGGGCAAAGGACTTCAGATGCTATAGCGAAAAGTTTGTTTTCGCAGAAGACGGGAGAACCTTTGTCGATGACGCAAGAATAATTCGACCGTCCGCACACGATTCCGGCGTAGACCATGGTGCTCTCCTCGGTACAGACGTCTTCTTCAATGTCGCAGACCGTCTCCTGGCACCTTGCGTACTTCATCAAACGTACATCGACGACGCGCACTCTCTCTCCCACAAAAAGGCTGTTCTCCGGGCCCGTTCTTCCCCAGGCGACCGCCGTGCACGCCGAGCCCGATCTCATCATGGCCAGGACCTGCTTGTCCGTAAAAAGGGAACCGAGGGTGAACGTGGAACTTGTGATTTCCACGGAAAACGGCTGTTGGACGACAATGACAGCGATGTCGTATTGGTTGAAGAGGGCGTTGATCTTTCGGCACCTTTTGTGCGGTAGCATTTCCGTCACGTCGTGTTCCTCTTCCGCGTTGCCGTCGTTTTCGATCATTCCCGTGAGTACTTTGTACCATTTCGGGTCGTGGGGTCGGAGCCGGTTCTGGCGGAACTCTCCGGTGCACCCACATCCGGTCAATACTTGGTTTGATCGAATTATTGAACCGACGCATATGTGGGATTTCATGACGCCAAATTTTAACTTGGAAATGCTAACTATGAACGGATACGACTCTTTCGAGGCCGATGTGCTGTAATAATCGCTCTGAACGGAATGGAGCGCTGTCAGTATGAGCGTCAACATAAACATCCTCCGTCTGTTATCAGTTGAATAAGGTTAACTGTTAATTTTGGTACGAAATGAAATACTGGTGATTTTGAAGCACAACTCGTCCAAAAATGTATTGAGAATTGGAACGTTTTAAAAATGTCTAAACCATATGAGCTAAAACAAATTTAAACCAGCCTGTGGTTTTGAAAACGATTGGTAAACTATCTAGGTAAGCGGAAAGACGTTAAAAATTATTATTACATAGTGACATTTATCAAACAATGATTGTTCTCGAGTATGATAAAGTATTATTTTCTTACACGTTATCGATTGGCTTGTCAGAAATTGTACGTTTCAACTCGGCCTCAGGGGAAACAATCAATTAACGAGAAACGGGGCATAACACTGGATCAGGGATGCGGAAAATAACTTCTAAAAGTTTTTGAGAGCCCGTCGTTAGTTGTTTCATTGATTGTCTCGAATCTGTTGTTGATGTTATAGGTTTTCCAAATTAATTGACCAATTAAGCCTAACATCGATTTTAGTTACGAATGTTTTATACTGCCAAAAACTTTATTTTTCTCCAAACCCTGTCAGAAAAGTTTTTTTCTAAAATCTAATGTGTTACATAATAGTAATTAAATGGGAATAAGTACTGCTACAAGTAAAATGGATGGATTGTTTTTCTGAATGGCAAAGGATCAGTTGATAATCAATACGATTCATCGCCAGTATGCAAATTCTGGGTTATTCTATACAATCAAATCAACATGTTGGGATGTCACTGCCGTTTGAAGGGGCGGGGAAAATTATACACGACGGACTTGTTTGACAGCTGTTCTTTTTTTATTGAATAACCAACTTTTGTTTCAGAGCTGAAATGTATATCACTTACGCGATCAGCTTGCTGCCGAAAGAAGCTTTCATGCCGGACAGGCCGGAAATGCCGATTAATTATTGGCTGCGGAAGTCAGTCGATGAGTCCATGAAGGACTATTTGGAACTTCGTTCAGAAGAATTTCTTTTGATAAATGTTTTAGACGAATTTCAAAAGTGCGAACTGCCACTGATCTGTCGTAAAAATTTACTTCAAAGACTTCAAGCCCTGCACAATTTTTCCGAAGCAATGCCTTCAAAGCGGATCGTCGACGGTTGCGCCTCCCTCCTGATGAAACGCGCCAAAAAAACCAGTGAAGAAAAGGTGAATAATAAATCGCCGAACAAAACTCTGACTAAACCTCAGCCAAAAAAGAGTACGAAAGTATTGAAAAAGTTATCGGCAAAGAACGTCAAAATGGGCGAAAATCTGAATGAAGATACGACGTTAATGAAGATCAAAAGGTGTAATGAAACAACGGTAAACGGAGAAGATGACGCTGATTTCGAAAACATCCAAAAGGAAGTTTTACCACAACGAAGCGTGAAAAGGAGCAGAACGTCAAACACCAAATCTAGACCTACCACCCCCTCAGCGAAACGTACCATTCGAAACTCCAGAAATATTTCGAAATACAGCCCAGATAAGCCTAGTGAAACTACTACAATGAAGTTAAGGGCTAGAACTGTATATTACAGATGAAAATTTAGTACATCAAAAGTACTTTGGTGTTTACCAATACTAATTCGGGCAAAGCCTTGTTACACGAAAAATCCCACATTTTTCATACAGTTGAAGGAGACTTCAAAACCTGAACCAAGATCACTATAAAAAATTGAAGAGTAAATCATCAACCTCAATCATCAATCGACAAATATACAACTCGATTCTATTGTTTTGATGGTAATATAAAATCAAAGAATTTTGGAATTTGAATAATATATAATATTGAATATTGGATGCGGCGGAAAAAGTATGAAAAATGCAGTTCATAACATCTTGACACTTTAGTAGGGTATGTGTAGAGTCCAACATTTGTAGATGTACAGCCCCATGTCGTGTCCGCATTTGGTAGTAAAATGGAAGAGAGATTATTTGACGGAGAGTGAATGTTATATGGGTGAATTCTTGTTGATTGAATGTTCCTATACATATTATGCAGGGTGGGCCACCATGACCCGAGGGTTATATGCCTGCATAGGCTCGTACCCCATCCCTAAAAGGTCCGGGACTTGGTCGGCATAAATCTCTTGGACTTGTTCAGAAACCCCAAGATTTTGGACCATTCAATCTCGGGTAATGATTTGGTGATGTCCTCTCCTTCAAAGATTTCAAAGACTCTGCGAGGTAGTGCTCTTTTATTTCGCAAAAACGGCAAAAGGGATCTGGTAGAATACCCAATACGGAGAGATGTCTTCTCAGTGGGCAGTGGCCCGTCAGTAATACCTATTAGCCTCCTAATTCCCTTCTTTGTGTTAGAGAGTAGCCATTTCGATTCTGCTGGTTTGATCGCCTTAACAAACTCTTTCGATTGCTTGTGTCCGGGGATAGATTCCAATGCTTAAGGAGTTGTTTCATGCCCCAGTTGTTCATACTCTCTTTCGCTGTGCTCATAGAGTGTCCGACAAACGCAGTATTGGAGCCTTCTTTGGCCAGGCCATCCGCATTTTCATTGCCATGGTGTCCTTTATGTGCTGGTATCCAAATAAGGGTTACCTTGTTCTCAAACCTGGAAGAGAACTCAACTGGTTCAACACAAGATCTACAGTTTTCTCTACCAATCCAGAGGTGGCCAATTCTTTTTGTGATGACCTAAGACTAGCGTGATTGTCAGAAACCATTCTAATATCTTTTCCCTTAATTTTATTTTCCGTAAGTATTCTACAACATACATTAATGGCCCAAATTTCCGCCTGAAAAACTGAGGTGTTATAACCAAGAGGGGAGGAGATGCTGATTCCTAATTTTGGTATGTAGATTCCTTAACCAATCCCTCTACCTTTGATAAGTGATCCACCTGTGTAGCAGTCTATGTTACTATGGACATTATCCAAACAATAATTATACTCACAAGGGGTGACTACCTGAAATTTCTTTTTCCCCGAATGGGTTTTAATCTTTTCATCACTAACGCTTAATAATTTGTCATTGGCCTTACTCAATAATTGTGAGATTTTCGAGTGATCTATGATATTGCACTTATGAATGTTCCTAATCTCTGCGGTTTTTATTGGCCGTTAATTAATGATTTCCCAACCTTGGAATGGGATTGTTTGAGCAGGAACTTGTATCAAGCACTTTGTGATGGAGGATTCTGATTTTGTGTTTGTTATCACAAAATTATGTTCAGGGCCTATCACCCGAAACTCCCTTGTCTTGGTACCCAAGGTATAATCAGGTTGTCGTGTTTTGCCGGGTTTTAGGTGCACTCATTGTTTTATATGTTATTATTTTGACGTGCCGGTTAGATTTTTAAGAGTGCTGATAGTTTGTTGCCATACCGTTCTCTGAAATAAAATTCAGTTAATTGGAATTCCAGGATAAGGTGATTAAATGTATGTAGCAAGGGTTTACGTTTACTAAGGATGCCTAAATACCAATCTCTACCAAAAGCCTTAGTCATATTCAGGTACGCATCCAAGGAACTCATGAGGAACAAAGGAATCAAATTATTTGTAAATGAAGATATATTTATATTGGTCTTTTTATGAAATGTATTGAGGCTAATGAGTTTATAATATTCATTTAGTATGTAATCGCATTCATTTTGTATAATGCAATACAAATCTAGGCTGATTATTTTTCAACAAAAATATGTAATAAATACATTATTCGGAGATCGTGAGATGCGGCCTGTGTGACGTAGGTTTTAGAAAAACATTTTCTTTATCGTGCAACGTTTCGATCTTTATTGAGGTCATCTTCAGGTCCTGGGATTTATAAATATTGTAAATTCACTAGTTTTCGTGGTTCGCTTGACCAATTAATATCTTTCAAATAATTAAGTTTTTAGTTGAGATAAAAAAGTCAGGGTCACGAGCGAGATTCGAACCAACGACCTTCGGCTAAATACGCAGCTACGCTATCACATGAGCTATCATGACTTCGACCAATGCGTACACCAACTTCCCATCTCAAATTTGCCATATGTCACGATCTGTTCTCGATTCAACAAGACGGGCCCAACTCTGAATCCTTTTTATGAGAAACAGAGCCCCAGAGGTCTTGATCGAACCTGAATACAGCCGATCAGGTGCCTTTTTATAATAAAATTTAATTAAAGTGTAAAAACAATTTATTAAACAGAGAAGAAAATAATAATTAAAACCAATAAATTTCCTTTTAAATTTTAAACAAACAATTAAAACTTTTTATAAATTTAAATAAATAGTAATTTCCTAGAAAGCGTTTGCCAGACCATTTAGAACAAGGGTGGGTATGTACTCACTATTTCCAGTCAATCCGCAGTGGACCGAAGCACTCGATTTTAGGGAATAGAACACTTTTGAGGATCTCACACTTCTCTCATCTACACGGAATCTTTTCACCTCTCAGACTCGGCTGTCTCTTCCCTATTCTCTTTTATTTTTTTACTCTAGGCCTAATCACGAAATCTAAATCATAACATTGTCAGTTTGAAATAAATTGAAATATGTCACATATGCTGACATTTGAAAAATGGCATAAAGGAGGGAAAATTCAAAAGTTGGGGTTGAGATGTATCTAGCCGAAGGCAACTAGACTATCGAAAGCAACTAAAAACCTTAATTGTTTAAATTATACAAAAACATATAGGATGTGCAAAAAGTGAATTTATACAATGCTAGAATTTTAAGACTCAATAAAAGTATTTGTACTCACTCAAAGTGTTTCTTTTTTGTGTAGATGTGTCATTATTGTGTGTCGTGTCGAGAATGTCAGTGAGATATTGATGTTTTAAGTTTATATTCGTTGGATTATAAATTGGTGTGGAAGGGGTGCAGAAAACCCCAAGTGGGCACTTGGTCAACTCGACGCACAGTAAGGACACATCTATACAGCAAATAAAGGGCCTGAAGATGATCTCAAAAAAGATCGAAACGTTGGCACGACAAAGAAAATGTTTTTCTAAGCCTACATCACATCAGACCTCATCTGACGATTTCTAAGTAATCATCAGTTATACTAATCTTTTAACACCGAGGCTCCAGTAGTGTGAGGTGATTTTGAAGGTTTTGATAGGATACGACAAGATCAGAGTCGCTTGTGCATAGTGTAATGTTAAGGTGGTGGTTTGTGAATTGAATGTCAGTTTTGAATGCCTAGTAAACTCTTCTGAACTCTACCCTGAGGTAGACCAACAAGGACTTACTTTAGGGAAGCCGCCTACTCTTCAATGACTCTGAAGACCCACTCAGTGAGGTAGATGGGAAGAATTAGGTAATAGGTAGATGGAATGATCTTTGCGCATAAAGTGCAAACCTGAATACCAGACAAAACCCGGTGGGAAATAAATTATCCAATTTTAGGTTTGTGAATTTGTTTAACTCAAGATATGCTAGAAAATAAAGGATTGTATTAAATGAGATTGTATACATTAGAACTTACAAAAACCAAGAGAATTTTTTTTTCATTTAGGATTCAATTTAATAAAGGTTTAAAGCCTCCAGCACTGTAACCCTGATGTAAACATTCATATTAGAGTTTCAAAGGGTGCTTAAAACGAATCTAATTTTTTTTAAAAACTATTTATTCCTATTTTAGCGGATTTTATTTTTCGTAAGTTTTACATCTCTAATCTCATTTAATATCCCGAGCGAAATAAAAACATGATTATATAACAACCCTGAAATACATTTAAAACAAAAACTGAAAACCTAATTTAAAAAATAAATAATATTAATTACGGAAAATAATTACTTCTCGGATTCTAGGGCATATTGGAACGACTGAATCACTGACTCGGTGAGCAAAATTATCTTTTTCGTTTCCCTAAAATAGCCACAAGTTCCAAATTGAGACAAGCGTATTTACAAAACAAATTATATAATATGTACTAGAGATGGCCAATGTTCCAACATATATTTACAGATTTTAAACATGTTACAATAAATAAAGGTTAAATTATAATTTACCCATTTCACTATTTTATTTATTAAACTTTCAGCCATGGTTAGCCGTTTTCAAAAAGAATTATTATCATTAAATTCACTAGTTTTCGTGGTCCGCTCGACCAATTAATATATTTTAATTAATTAAGGTTTTTAGTTGAGATAAAAAAGTCAGTGTCACGAGCGAGATTCGAACCCACGATCTTCGGCTAGATTCGCCGCTGCACGACCACTTGAGCTATCGTGACCTCGATCCACTCGGCCACTTCCCATCTCAACCCCACCTTTTGAATTTTCCCTCCTTTTTGCCATTTTTCAAATGTCGGTAATCTCTTTGATTCACGGCGACAAATCCCGCTTGTGATATTGACTTTTTTATCTCAACTAAAAACCTTAATTGAAAATTATCATTAAAGAAAAATTTGACTAATACTTTAACAAATTCCTTATACAACACCCCTATTGATTTGTTGATTGTCAGGCTTTAGGGAGAATTGTGCTCGACTGTATTTAGCCATGTAGTAATTATCGATACGTTCAATCAGGCTAGGCAAACAATGGCTTAATTGAAAACTAAGTACTCAGCGATCATGTCGATAATAGTAGGGTTGCACTTGATAAGTTTAATCTTGCATTTAACTATGCCAACACAACAAAAATCTCCAAGATATGAATTTTAAAAATTTAAGTGTATGCGTGAATTGTATGGTTTTTTCTAAAAAGAAATTCTCCATCTCAGAGTGTTTAAACAATTTTTTTTAACGATTCATCACTACGATTACAAAACGAAAGAAAGACGCGT